TCAGCAGCCAGGCCGCGTTTTCGTGACGTAATTCCGTCCGAGAGATGGCTTTCGAAGAGGCTTTTAACTACCACTCTGCGTTATGGCTGCTCTTTAGCCAAATTATTTTGAGCCAAACATGCTCCAAACTCCGCAATGATAGCATCGAAGATAGTGAAGTGGAAAATCGCTTGGAAAAAATGGATTTTGCTGACCTGGTGAAGGATGCCAAGTCAGTTGCAGGTTTTTCTCCTTGCCGCCAATTTCGAGTCGGACCGAATGACGTCACATAAACAGGGCCTGGCTGCCAGGACAGTTTCAAAATGGCGGCCTTCGAAGTCGATCTTTCAAGATGAATATCTTCAGGATAGCGGACACTTCAGAGGCCGGAACTTCAGTGAGCTGAATGTTTACTTGCTATAGGCGAAGACTGAAAAAGTAAGCTTTCTGGAGTGACCTCCTTTAATAATTTATTTATGTACCGCAGGCTCAAGTGTTTCGCACAATGTATACCTCACTTTTGACCAAACAAAATGATCTTTCCATTTTTGACTACAGCACAAGGAAGACATGTACATACACATGTAATGTAAAACGTATAGGCAAGCCTGAGTAACAAACAGTTTCTTAATCTTGAACTTTTTTATTTTGCAAATATCAAAACACACCCTTGAATGGAAAAAGGCTTTATGGGCTTGTTCGAGAACTAGACTGCCCTCACATCACAAGTAGCTCCTTAATGAGCAATGCCTCACAACACCCTTTCATAATTTATTTTCCAAGTTCAGTGGCTCAAAGCCACTTTCATTTATATCTATGTATGCGTGTGGTTCTCTTCCTATATTTATGATGCTCCGCTTGGCACCCCTTCGGGCCTCCGAATCTCCGCTAAAAATAATTGCCTTGTCCTCAAGGAAATCACAGAAAAACAGTCAAAAAATACACATAGGTTATACGAATAGCCTGTGATTTAGTTGGAAGAGGTCTTTGTGGCCAAGTTTTGAGGCAATTTAGGAAAAAAAAACAAAAATTCCAGTACTTTTAAGCACTTTGATCCGTTATGACTACCACTATACATCAGCTTATACCGCAATAACGGTGTCAACGAATTCCAAGTGAACATTATTGATTAATTTAACATGCTTCGGTCATGTTTTTAACACAACAACATAACAGCACGATATCATAGTATCGGTATGACCTGTGAAAAACTTTCTTAATTTTGCGAGCCCGGTGATTCATATAGAGAAACTATTTTCAGAGGCTGTTGATCTCCTTGATTACAAGCTTTAGTTCAGTTTGCGAATTGACAATTCGTCTAAAATTAAAATTCGCTCAACGTTTTTTAATGCGTCTTACTTCCGTGTTTACCAAGCCCGGGTAAATACGGTCAATGGCGGTGTTTAAAGAGCAAAAAGTTTCAGATAACCGTTTAACACGCATTTTTATTGGTGATACTACACTATTTGACCCCCTTCCCCCCCCCCGGCC